GGATGGGTTAGCCTGGTGGTGGGTATTGAGGAGGGCACATTCTGCATGGAGCACTGGGTGTTATGCACAAACAATGAATCATGGAACACTACACCTAAAACCAATGATGTAATGTAGGGGATTAACATAAGAATAAAAAAAAAAGAAAAAAAAATTAATGAGTCTAGTTGACAATAAATAAGTGGAGGAGGTGGGAAAGCTCATTTTTAAAGGAGAATGCCAACTAATTAATGTAAGAAAAATAGTTAGATAATCACTATTTTACAGCCATTATAGTAGTTACAGGAGAAAGCAAAAACCATCCATGGATACTAGAATTCCTGGGAGGTTTAAAAAGAACTGGGATATTTACAGTTTCCTCACGGATTATTTATTAAATACAAGGAGTAAAAATAGTAACTTTGCAAAGAACACCATCACAACTAAATGATTAAAGTTACCATCACTAATAATGGGGCAAAATGACATCGTGCACCTCCAGTCTGATGTACTGAGGACACAACATCACTTATGCAGGCTCCTGTCTGAAAAAGCAAAACCTGAATCCAATAAAGAGGAAACAGGCAAACTCAGATTAAGGGATGGTTTACAAAACAACTGGACTGTACTAATCAAAATTCAGAATCAACAAATACAAAGAGTGTCTGAGAAACTGTCTCAGATTAAAGAATAATGAGATAAAAGTTAATTGTAATGGATGAAGCCATCAGAAGAGAGCTTTCAGTTGCTCCCATCAATATTATCCTTACCCACCCCACTTCACTGTGTGTCCTGCCTTCTTTCTTATTACTATGAGTGAACTGTGCATCTCCTCTTTAAGGCTAACCATCCCCTTGCATATTTTATCTTGTCCCTCTGACTTGCTTAAGGACATTGCTCTCACAAGTGTCCGTTCTTGCTTCTTGTATCATCAGTATCCCCTCTAGTAACTCATTATCCTAAGTATACAAACATGCTGTAATTTCTATCATTTTAGAAAAAACATTCTCCAGGGGCGCCTGGGTGGCTCAGTCGTTAAGTGTCTGCCTTTGGCTCAGGTCGTGATCCCGGGGTTCTGGGATTGAATCCTGCATCTGGCTCCCTGCTCAGCAGGAAGCCTGCTTCTCCCTCTCCCACTCCCCCTGCTTGTGTTCCCTCTCACTGTGTCTCTCCTGTCATATAAATAAAATCTTTAAAAAAAAAATTCTCCTGATCCCACAGTTCCCTTCAGATGTTGTTCTTTTTCTCTGCCCCCTCAAAAGAAAAAAATCCTCAAAAAAGTTGTCCATATTTTCTCATTCTAATTCCTCTCCTCCCGTTCTCTCTTGAATCCATTCCAAAAAGTCTTTTTTCAAACTTCACCTTATACCACTAAAAATGATCCTGGTCAGGACCACCAGCAACATTTACATTTTTTTTTTAATTTTTAATTTTTTTTTTTTTATTTGAGAGAGAGAGAATGAGAGACAGAGAGCAT